CTTCTTCTCGTCCTCGTCCTCGAGGTCCACACCTTCCTTGGTCGTCGACTAGAGCTTCTTGCCGTCGAACTCCTTCAGCTGCTGCACGGAGTACTCATCGATGGGATCGGTCATGTAGAGGACCTCAAGACCCTTCTTGCGCAGCGTTTCCAGGAAAGGCGAGGACGACACCGCTGCGATGCTCTCCCCCGTAATGTAGTAGATGTCATTCTGCCCCTCCTTCATGCGGTCCACCTACTCCTTCAGGCTGATCATCTCATCTCCAGATCTCGAGGTGTGGTAGCGCATAAGCTCCGCGACCTCGGTGCGGTTGGTGGAATCTTCGTGCACGCCAAGCTTGAGGCACTTGCCGAACTGCTCGTGGAACTTCTTGTAGTCGTCCTTCTTCTCGGCGATCTCCACAAACATCTCGAGGCACTTCTTGACGAGATTATTCTTGATCACTCGCAAGATCTTGTTCTGCTGCAGCGTCTCGCGGGAGATGTTCGGTTTGATGATGGTGTCGGCCACCAGGCCAGGCCCGTCGAACAGGCGTAGGTGCTGCGGCGGGACGTAGATGTCGTAGATCTTGTCGTAGCCGACGTCACCCATCCCCTGCTCGTATGATGATTGCCCTTCTTCACGTCGGGCTCGACACGGTGCGGCGTGCAGAGCACACGCGCTGGTGCACATCGCCCTGCGCGGGTGTGGTGCTTGGCCCTCTGCAGACTGCGAAAGCACGGGGGGGCGCGTCCTCTAAGGCCGCTGCGCCTCCGATGGCTTGAGCTCGCGGCGGCCTGCTCATGCTGCTGCTGATGATGATAATGATGATGATGTTGATGATGGTGCTGATGATGCTGATGATACTGATGATGATGATGATGCTGATGAGGATGATGATGAGGATGATGATGAGGATGATGATGATGATGATGATGATGATGATGATGCTGAGGGAGCACGGCGCTGGAGGGGTGTATGCCGATGGGCGCGTCCCGCGCTTGGGGATGTGCCGAGGTTTTCGTGTTGCCCGCCCGTTGGCGCCTGGTGGGCGCCCCGCGCTGGGGGGATATTCCGTGGTTTCGCCTGGTGCCGCGTCGTGGGCGCCCCGATGTAGTTTGCACCACGTAGGTTGCACCACGAAGCTTGCACCACATAGCTCGCTCGCACCACATACCTTGCCCCACACAGGTTCCCTTCTCAAAAGAATGATACAGTCCGCCCCCCCCCGCCCGGGGGGTTAGCGGGGCCCCCTGGGACGATGCAACTTACATACTATTCTGCTGCATCGCCTATTTCCCGTATGAGTTCATACCATCCCAGCTCAACCGGGTATCGCCCCCCTCCATCCCTGTCTAATGCCAGTTTGGGACACTCGTTTCTTACATATTCTTTGCACACATATACTTTCGTCCAACGACACGCGCAACGTCCATACTCGCGCGCACATGTCAAAATCCCACCAAACACAGCAGTTCTGCAAGCACTTCAACATAAGCACATTACACACCATTAGGCCTGTCATCACTAATGATGCAGATGTTCTGCCCGCGCGCATCTTCTGAAGTCATAGGAGCATTATAGGAGTTGAGCAATATCTTCCAGAGCTTGCATTCTTATCTCGCCACGCGGTGCATCCGCGTTGATCCAGCATGCGCCAAGTGCACGGACCCGTATCAAAGGATACCGTGCGGGCCACGCGCGCCTCGCCAGTCGCGCGTGTTGAATTCTTCCCAAAACCATTCACTTTCGACGCATTTCAAGAGAGAGTTCGCCAAAGCATACGAACCCAATTGTTTCCCAACAGAAAGCTTGCCAGGCTTATTACATTTCCGAGCGCGCACTTCCCACTATCACTTTCATCAGCGTTGCCACATCACCGCCGTTATCGTCATCATCAGTCGCCGCCATTGCTGCTGTCATCAGCCAACCACCGTCATCACCGACACAGACATGTACAGCAGCATCGTCATCGTCCTCATCAGCATCGGCGCCGTCTCTGGCCTTGTCGCCGACATCGGGATTATCGCCACCACCATCGCTACTATCTTCATCGTTGACGCCGTTTTCGATGCCATTATGGTACCGCGCCCGCCCGAGTCACCGACCCTCACTGAAGTGCCCGCGCGCCTGCGCGGCCTTGGAGACGCATTGGGAAGTTCACATCAGTAAGCGCCATCGCGGCCGCATCTGTTGTGCCAAGCTAGCTGGCCGTTCTGCACGCGAGCTTGCGCGCGCTAGCGCTGCCGCATAGATGCGCCAGCCAGTGCCACACAGTCACCGCAATCGCAGCCGCATGGGTTGTGCAAAAAAAGTTGCGGGCTGGAGGGTGGACTGTTTGCTTGAGCCGCGGGGTTGGCGATTTCAAGTTCTGTAAAATGGATTGCGCCACGTAGAATGCGCACCATAGCTTACATCACAGAACCTACGCCGCATAGCTTGCACCACATAGCTTGCACCATGTAACATACACCGCGCGGCTTCCATCTCGCAGATAGCACCACGCAGGTTGCACCTTATAGCTGAGCTTGTCTTACATTGCTTGTCCCACATCGTTTACACCACACGGTTGCACTACATGATCTGCGCACCCGCAATGCAACATCTTATTGTTTGTGGTTCACGCTAACTTAGATGTTGTTGTTGGTGGTGGGGGCATCGATGACACGGTTGCTGCTGATCGTGGTGATGATGATCACGCTTTGGACCCGAACCGTGTTAAGCACAGCGTGTTATGGGGTCTGGAAAAGATGCGAGGCCAGTGACGTACGATGTTTATGTATGATTGCGATTATGATGTTGATGGTGATCATGATGATGATCATTCTACTGATGATGGTTATATGATGGTGATGGTGGTGATGCTGATGGTGATTATGATGATGCTGGTGATGTTGATGATGACGATGCTGATGCGACTGTGGTGGGACGACAGCGACCACGATGATGAAGGCGGTGCTGACGATGCCGATATTGATGATGATGCTGATGATGGCGTTGAAGATGCCGATCATGATGTTGATGATGATGATGTTAGTGGCGATTGTTGTGATGTTGATGTGGAAGACGATAATGATGCATACGAGAGGACGGGCTCTTTAGCTGCCGAGGTGAGCGAGGGGAGATGGGGATGGTTGGGACGACGATGTCTAGTTTGATGATGATGATGATGATGATGATGATGCTGATGCTGATGCTGATGCTGATGCTGATGCTGATGCTGATGCTGATGACGATGACGATGATGATGCTGATGCTGGTGCTGACGATGGTGAAGATGCTGATCCTGCTGATGATGATTACGATTAGCGTTACGATGATGATGGCGATGGCGGTGACAATACTGATGGTCAGCAGAAGGGCGAGAAAGGGCCCCCTTGTCGCCACAGCTGGAAGTGGCTCGAGCAACTTGTCAGTTTCGGCCCAGGATAAGTAAGGGGACAGATTTTGAAAGGATTTTCCTTCGGTTCCCCCTCTTTTGAATTTTCTCGGATCCATTCAGCGCAGACCCCCTGGCCGCTTCCACGTCTCCTCTCTTCATTCCTTCCCTTTCCTAGGCGCAGGCAGTGTGTTTGTCGTGGGCGAGCGCCGATATGCCGCAGGAGTGGCGTCAAGGACGAACATAGGAAGGGAACCGGAGGCTCGGATCGGGGGCGCTTTGTTGGCGGATTGCGGGGTGCTATCCTCGTCCTGCTGCTCCTTGTCCTCCTATCCTCCTCCTGTTGCTCCCTGTCTTCCTGCTGCTCCCTGTCCTCCTCCTGCTATCCTCCTGCTGCCCCCTGTCCTTCTGCTGTCCTCCTCCTGCTATCCTACTCCCGCTCCCTATCCTCCTGCTGCTCCCTGGCCTCCTCTCTGCAGTCGTGCCGTGCGGACTCTGGCCGCACCGCTGGGCTGGCCCCACTCGGAGGGCATCGTCCTCGGCATGCCCGCTCAGCACCAGAGAGGGGCTTGAACGGGTATCGGCGACGAGAAGCAGAGAGAGAGAGCGAGAGAGAGGGAGCGAGAGAGAGAAAGAGAAAACGAAAGAGAGAGAGAGAGAGAGCGGGATAGAGAGTGGGAGCGAGAGAGAGAGAGAGAGGGAGCCCAGACATCGAGCCTCCCAATGTTTTTCGAGACACGGGCCCCCGACCTCTCGACCCGCGACCCCTGCCCCCATGGGGCCGGGTTCTTCATCCGGAGCCGTTTTTTTCAAGGTCCCAGGGCCCGGCACTGGCCTCCAGATGCCTAAAACCATAAATAATTCGCCCGTCTCGTTTTTTTGTAAGCCACTGGTTGTCTGGGAGAGAGAGGGAGAGAGAGAGAGAGGGGCTGGGGAGGGAGGGAGAAAGAGAGGGAGAGATCGGACAAGTAAACGGGAGTCCCGGGGTGCCCACCTTTGGGTACGGGGGACGTTGAAACAACGACCCCCTGGCGCAAAGCGACTAAGGTGAAAGGCGGGGCGCTGAGCAGGCAACGCGCCGCGTCTCTCGGCGCCCCGCGGTGGAAGGGACCAGGTCGGCAAAGCCCCGGTTGGCGGCCAGGCGACAAGGTCTAGGCCGCTAAGCGGCTTGCGGAAACGGGGCGTCCCCCGTCCCCGCAGCCAGGCACTGATGTCGAGTGGCCGCGCGGTGAATCGGGCTGGCATGAGGGGGGCCGAAAGGCTTTGTAGGAGGTCCTGTGCTGATTTGCACGGCCCTGAGCAGGTCGTGCCACGAGGGGAGGGGTGCCGCTCCGTCAGGTGACAAGTTGGCAGAGAGAGAGAGAGTGACAGACGGATAGAACGAGAGGGAGAAAGAGAGAAAGAGGGAGAGAGGGAGAGAGAGAGAGAGAGAGAGGGATGGAGGGAGACAAAGGGAGAGAGAGAGAAGGAAGGAGAGAGAGAGAGAGACACATCGTCTTCGTTGTCGTCCACCTCCGAGCAACATCGGCCACGCGCAGTAGTGGGGTGACGGGGGAGGGGGAAAGGCTTCTTAGAGACACCCTGCTTCTAAAAACCCTCCCCCTCCTCCTACCCCCGTGTGCGTGCCGCCAAGAAAACAAAGGAGGCGCTGATCAAGCAGCTGCGGGAGCAGATGGAGGCGAAGGCCCGCTGTCGGCCGCCCCGAGGGTCCGGGGATGCATTCGCACGACGGGACGGACCATCCCCATCCGCTTGGTCGCTTGGTGCGGTCTTCCTCCCTCCAAGAGGTTCCCCAGGAAGGCCCGTAAAGGCCAGCATGGTAGATTTTTTCTCCGGCTCTTGAAGGGTTTGGGCATTTGCTTCAAAACGGATTTCCGACGGCCCAAGACGGCCCAGGAGGCCCCCAAGATTGCCCGAAGACCGCCCAAGAGGCCTCCTCCGTCCCTTCCGCCTTCTCTTTTCTCCTTCTACGGTTCCTCCTCCCTTTCCTGTGCCTCCTCCTCCTCCTCCTCATCCTCCTCCTTCGCCTCCTCCCCATTACCTTTTTCCCCTCCTCTTCCCCTCCCTCCTTCCCCTCCCTGTTTCCCATCTTTCTCTTGGTCCCTTCCAAGACAGTGCTGGCGCAGCAGCAGGGGTCATTTAAAACGCGACTCGGGGGCGTAAAGCTCTTCATCTCCTTGGCGACAACCGAACGTCTGATGCACACTATGGTACTAGTCGTTTTGAAGCATGAAATACGATTATGTGCGTTGCCAGTTCAGCTGCGGTAGAATGGCGGGAGAGCGGGAGGAGGGGGACACAATAGATAATTCCGCGCGTGCCTCCTTTCTTCGATGGGCCTTGCGGGCGAAACCCCAGCGTTTCACCACTCCCACTCCTTCGCTTCCTCCGCCTTCTCGTCCTCCTCCTCCTCCCTGCGCTTATTCCGTGTCGGTGGGCGTCGTGTTGACGCCCCCGGTCGGCCCTTGAGCTCGCCAGCGTCACCATCTTTCACCCGCTTTTTCATTCTCCTCCATCTCCTTTCCCTCGAGGCCGCTTCGCATCGCCGAACCACCAGACGTGTCAGTAGGGCGGTCTGTCTGTCAAGCGTGATACCAGGCTGGCACAGGTATTTTTGTGGGTTTGACTTCTTTCGGCAGCGTGTTTTTGGGGGTTTGACGTTTTTTTCGGCAGCTGCATGGTTGGGGGGTGGGCGGCTTCCAAAGTGTGGTTGTCGCCTCAGCACCGTACGCATTCGTCATACAAGTTTTCAACAGCTGCACGGTCAGAGGGCGGGCCTTAATCAAGATGCGGCTCTCGCCGTAACCCGCGCATCTTCGTCATTCACAGGTCCAGCGGTTGCACTGATGGTAGGGGTGTAGTTTTGAGTATGTGACTCTCGCCTTAGCGCCGCGCGTACTCGTCGCAAGCATGTGCGCCATTTATACGCGGATGGAGGGCGGTTCCGTTTCTGCACGGGGATATTGTTTGAGATGTCCTCAGACTTGGTTTTGTTAAACTCAACTCAACAGAGCAACGGGTCGAGGGTGGTTCCATTTCAAAATGTGGTTCTCGCTTCAGCCTTTCCAACGTTCGCAACCGAAGCTTGGAGCGTAAAGCAGTTGATCACGCGGACGAGGTGTTTGTTCCTCGAACAGTTGTTTTCATGTTCTTCTTCTTCTATTGAAGCGTATGGGTCGCTGGAAACTCATAAGGACGGATGGCGGTTCCTTCCGAAAGTGGACCTCCGGCCTGAATGGCAGACCCAGGGGCTCTAGTTTTTCAAGCCGACGTTCCCCGTAGCGAAACACATCATTCCCCAATCAGAGCTTGCCTCTGTAGGGGTCCTAGCAGATTAAAGGTTTAGGTGAGGTGGGTCGCCGATTTCGGTGGCCGGGCCCCGGTACCCGAATGCCCGGCGGTGCCCGGGTGCCCGGGTGGCCGTTGAGGTGCGTGGCCGATTTCGGTGGCCGGGCCCGGGTGCCCGGGTGCCCGGGGTGCCCAATAGCCCAATAGCATATAGCCCAATAGCCCCATAGCCCTATAGCCCTATAGCCCTATAGTTTTATAGCCCCACAGCCCTATAGCCCTATAGCCCTATGGCCCAATAGCCCTATAGCCCTATAGCCCTATAGCCCCATAGCCTTATAGCCCTATAGCCTTATAGCGCTACAGCCTTATAGCCCTATAGTCTTATAGCCCAATAGCCCTATAGCCCTATAGCCCTATAGCCTCATAACCTTATAGCTTTATAGCCCATAGCCCTACAGCCCCATAGCCCCAACAAAAATCTGATTGGGGTTTTTCTCCGGTGTCATATTTGAAAGAGCGTCGTCTGAGAGATCTTCAGGTGTTGGGGGACATGTTAGAACTCCCCCATCCACAATCCCTGGCACTCACTAGCCCACTCCCCCCCCCCTCCCCCCTCCCCTCCCAAAGTCAGGGGGGGGAGTTAGAATCACCCTATCCCCGTGCGCCAGCAAACAACGACGGGGAGGCCGACGACGACGACGACGACGACGGACGAGCACGACGACGACGACGACGGACGACAGACGACGTGACGACGACGACCACGACGAATACGACGACGGCCATGCTGCCGACAGGGACGATGCTGACGACTCTGACGACGACGACGCTGACGATCTCGGCAACGCGGACGGTCACGGCGAGTTCACCGATTGCTGCCCCGACGGCTCCACCAACAGCAGCACCCACAGCTCTGCTTTGGCAGGGCCTCCGACGGCCGTGCCGACAGCGATCGACGAGGTCTCCGACTGCTGCAGCGACGGTCGCTCGGACAGCGGCACCAACGAGATCGCCGACCGTTGCCCCGCCGGTCGCACCGACAGCGTTACCAACAGAGTCACCGACACGTCCACCGGCGGCAACGACAGCGGCACCAGCAAGATCACCGACTGCTGCCCCGTCGGCTGCACCAACAGCAGCACCCGCAGCATCACCATCAGCGGCACCGACAAGCTGAGTGACTGCTTCCTCGACGGCTGCATCAACAGCAGCGCCCACTGCAACATCGACAGAGTCAACGATAAATTCACCGACTGCTGCACTGGCAGTTGCATCCGCAGGCGCACCTACAGCGGCACCGACGACGGCACCGACAAGTTTCTCCGCCTGCTGCCCCGACGGCAGCACCAACGGGTGCTTCTACGCCATTCCGATTTCTCAAACGCACGTACTACTGACCAGCACATCTGGATGATTGTTAGCGTATGCACAGTTCGCCATTGATTCACATGATTGTAGCAATGATTGTTTCATGCATTACTTCTTCTTCCAGCTTCTACATCAAATACAAGTGTACTTCAGGCACAGGTGCTGTGCCCACATAGCACAGCACGTTTACGTGGTGGGGTGAGCACGCTCAGGTCTCAAGCCACCGTTTAAAGTATACATCCCCCGCTGGGGATGACCTCGTGCCGCATCTGCCACGCAGATTGCTGCGCTGATGCAGCGTGTTTACGCGGTGGCTGAAGCACGATGTGTTTCGGGCACCCTGTAAGCCTTAATTCAGTGACGCTGTGAATGGTGAAGTGGTTGGGGACGGAGGTGGTTTGCTGCTGCTGCTGCTGCTGCCTCTTCGCAGTAGCACCGTCCATAGACGTTTGTTTCAGATTTGTTTGGTAGTGCATACGTGGCGCGGGCAAGCGCGCAGCAGGAGATGCTTACCATATGACTCGATCCCCCGTCACAGAGGTAGTTCTGTGGCGGCGCCGCCATGCACACTACGGTCGAGAGCATGAAAATACATTCGCTTCGATCCCCTCTCGCTCCAAGTACGTGGGTTGGGGGACACGTTAGAACTCCCCCATCCACAATCCCTGGCACTCATTAGCCCACTCCCCCCCTCCCCCCTCCCCTCCCAAAGTCAGGGGGGGGAATTAGAATCCCCCAACCCCCGCGCGCCAGCAAACAACGACGGGGAGGCCGACGACGACGACGACGACGGACGAGCACGACGACGACGACGACGACGGACGACAGACGACGTGACGACGACGACCACGACGAATACGACGACGGCCATGATGCCGACAGGAACGATGCTGACGACGCTGACGATCATGGCAACGCGGACGGTCACGGCGACGACGCCAACGCTACCGACAACAGTGACGACGACGGCGACAGCGACGACGACGACGACCACGACGACGACCACGACGACGACGAGCACGACGGCGGCGCTGACACTGGCACTGACACTAATACTGACCACGGCATTGACGACAATGATGCACCGTTATCCACGAGCGAAGCGTATTTCTAATGTCCCGCACGCCCTCCCGCTTCACTGCCCCGCCTGGCCCACCCGCTTCTTGCGTCGCCTCGTAGCGAGTATAGCAGAGTGCAGTCGCCCGCCTGCGCTGCCACGGCACGAGTCGAGTAGTAGTTTTGTCGCCTGCCCTTGCATTGCCACGCAACGAGTAGAGTAGAGTCGTATTTGTTCCCGCTCCCTTTCGCTGCCGCTCGACGAGTAGAGTTAGACTTTCATGTTTCAGTCCCCGCTGTAATGCCGCGTATCGTGTAGAGCAGAGTATTCTCTTTTCCCCACCCCTTTTGCTGCTGCGCGGCGAATATATTTTCCTATTCCCCCCCTGTTCCGCCCCTTCCTTGCGTTGCTCCTTACCGAGTCGATTGGAGTAATGAGTAGTGGTTTCTTCGCCGCCTTCGCGTTGCCCCGCGACGAGTCAAGTGATGCGGTCGTCGTTGTCGTCGACGCCGTCGTGGTTATCGTCGTTATCGTCGTCGCCAGCGTCTTCGTAGTCTGCCTGTTGGTCTTCGTCCCGCGTCGTCGTCGTCCGTCGTCGTCGTCGTTGCCGTCGTCGTCGTCGTCGTCGCCGCCGTCGTCATCGTAGTCGTCAATTTTGTCGTCGTGGTCGTTAAAGCCGCGTTGAATGTCGGCGTTGCCGTCGTCGTATTGATCGTCGTGGTCGTCGTGGTGGTCGTCGTCGTGTTCGTCGTTGTTGTGGGAATTTGCGTCGTCGCAGTCGTTGAAGCAAAGTTCGAATCTTGATTTCTGGAGAAGGCGCATTGCGCATTAATATAATCTGTTCCAGGCGCTCTCGCTTCGACGCCAGCTACATATTCCTCGAACACAACGCTCCTGCTCGAGCGATGTACCCCATACTCCCGGGCCAGACGCCCTAGAACTCAGGAACCGCGTTCTCGCTCGAGATATTGTCGCAGCTCAGTAGATTGGCGAAGGCTCAACTACGATGACAACGGCTCCCGTTTCGTAATTCCCAGCCATTTGCTCGGAGGCGCCTTGGCCAGAGACGCCCCCGTTCTCAGGAATAGCGCCCCGCCTGGAATAGCAGTCCACTTGGGGTTGTTGGAGGCCCAGCTGCGACGGCATCGGCACCCCTTCGATGTCTGATGCGACCGTTGCGCTCTTACTAGAGACACTCCCGCCATCTTGTCAAGCAGGCAAGGGCCCAACCACGACGACAACGGCTCAGTTGTCATTAATTTACACATGTTAGTTCCGAGGCGCCGTTGTAAGAGATGCCCCCGGTCTTAGGAATGGCGCTACCACGTGTGATTGCGATCCATGCGGGATGGTGAAGGCCCAACTACGACAACAACGGCACCCGTTCGATGTCAGATGCGCCCGCGACATTATTGCTCGAGATGTTATCGCCATCCAGTCAAGTTGATGAGAAGTCCCAGCTACGACGACAATGGCTTTCGTTCGATATTTCCTCGGGACGCACTCCGAGGCGCTTTGGGCAGAGACGCCGCCGCTCTCAGGAATGGCGCTCTCGTCCGAGATGTCCTGGAACACCACTTGGGTTGGTGGAGGCCCAACTACGACGACAACGGCACCTGCTCGATGTCAGATGCGCCCGCGGCGTTATCGTTCGAGACACTCCCGCAATTCAGTCAAGTTGGTGAAGGCCGACCTTCGACGACAATGGCTCCCGTTTCGGAAGCCCTCGCAATTTCTTCCGAGGCGCCCTTGCCAGAGACGCCCCCCATCCTGCCCCCTTTCCTCCCTATCTCACTCCTTCGTCGCCCGTCGCCCCCCCTTCTTTAATGGCCCGTGCCACATGCCCATGGCGGGCCAGGCAATATGCCCCCCCCAAAGGGTGCACGTTCGAAGATGAGGAGCGCGGATATCGAGATTTTTGTCAGATGCACTTTGAGAGGCGCGCGATCAGATAAGAGCGAACAGTCCTACAATGATCGTCGTCGTTGTTGTTATACGGCTGCCTATGGCAAGTCCCGCCACCGAGCCTGGGTTTCCTTTTGGATATTCGTTGGGATATCGTGGGAGGCCCTTCGGGGGTCTCTTGGAGGCAGTTTGAAGCCTCCTGGGGCTGTTCGGAGGCCTCTTGGAGCCTCTTTTGAGCTTGTTGGAGTCCTCTGGGGGCCTCTTGGGGCCTTTTGTTGGCGGGCCCCTAGGGGCGGAAGGCTCGGATTTTCGGTTCGTATTCCCTCGGTTGGGTTCCTTTGGGGGCCGTCTGGGGGCCTTTCTTGGCAATCTTAGACGCTTCCTGCGCCGTCTTGAGGCGCTCTTGGGCAGTCTTGGGGCCTTCTTGAAGGAATATTGATGACTCTTGCGGAATTATGATGGATTCTTGAGGGATTTTTGAGGACTCATTGATTGTATTCTCTATGGCGGGCATTGGGCCCCCCCCCAGAATGTATTTCCCGACGTCGACGGCTTTTTTATTTTTGGAATTTGCCAGCGGAGTAGAACCTGTGTACAACAGCCCAGAGCGTAACTGAGACAATGCCACATGCAGTAACGCATTCAGTAGCACGTACAGTCTCACATACAATAAGTTACATGGGCGCGTATTGTACAACTACCAAATAATGTGCCATAGACAGATGGGAGAACACATCAAGACCACATGACCTCATACGGTGTTCGATGAAGAGGATGATGATGGCAATGATGATGGCGGCAATGGGGTTGACTCGAGTTTGGCCAAAGCGCAGCGCCCAAATATCATGGAAACTAGATGTTGATGTTGATATGGTTTTACTCGCCGGAGGCGCTGCGCGAATTACACACTCGATAACGAACACAAGCCATTTTCAATTCCTATTTCTGTATTGGTATGGTTGGAAGTTGCCCAGCTGAGAAAGCGCAGCATGGGGACCGCCCACGTATCCGCGTTGAAGTGCGCGCTCTTTTCGTGCATAAGGGATGTCAGACAGAACGTTGAATGCCATTCCCCCAGAATGCAGTGAAATGTTTAACTCCGCGATGCTCGGAGGCCTCTTTTTGGGCCTCTTGGCGGTATGTCTGACACATCCTGGGGCGGTCCGGGGGCCTCTTGGGGGCCTCTTGAGGGTCTCTTTGGGTCTCGCGGGGGCCTCTTGGGGGCTTTTCGGGAGCCTCTTAGACCTCGCTGCGCCAGGAGCTCAAAATGTCCGCTCGGGTCCCTCGTCTGGGCCCGCTCTTATAGCCGTCTTGGGAGCCTCTTCGGCCATCTTGGAGGCCTCTGGGGCTGTCTTGGGGCCCTTTGGGGCCGTTGTGGGCGCTCTTGGAGACTTCTTGGGCCGTGTTGGGGCGATCCCGGAAGCCTCTTGGGCCGTTTTGGAGCGCCGGTAAGCCCCCAAGGAGAGAACGCCAAAAACCTTACACCACTATAGGAAAATCGCTAATTTCGCCTCTGTGGGCCCTCTTGGGAGGTCTCTTGAGGCCTCTTGGGGGTCTCTTGGGGCCTCTCGGGGGCCTCTTGGGGGCTTTTTGGGGGCCTCTTGGAGCCTCCAGGGAACCTCTCTGCGCCTGGAGCTCGAAATGTCCGCTCGGGTCCCTCGTCTGGGCCCGCTCTTGGAGCCGTCTTGGGAGCCTCTTCGGCCATTTTGGAGGCCTCTGGGGCTGTCTTGGGGCCCTCTGGGGCAGTTGTGGGCGCTCTTGGAGGCCTCTTAGGCCGTGTTGGGGCGATCCTGGAAGCCTGTTGGGCCGTCTTGGAGCGCCAGTTAGCCTTCAAAGCGAAAGCACCAAAAACCTTCAAAAACTATTGCAAAATCACTAAGTTCTGCCTCTGTGGGCCCTCTTGGGAGGTCTCTTGGAGGCCTCTGGGGGCGTCTTGCAGGCGCTTTGGGCTGTCTGGAGGCCATATTTGGCGTCTTGGATCGCTCTTGGGCTGTCTCGGGCCATGTCGAGCTTTCTAGGAGGCCACTTGAAGCGCTCCTGGAACGCTCTTGGGAGCCTGCTGGGACCTGGCCGGGACCTGCCCGGGACCTGGCCGGGATTTTGCCGGGACATGGCTGGGACTTTCGGGTTTATTTTTCGTCTGGGGACCCGCAGGGGCGGCCCCGCGCGCGCGATCTAGAATCTTGTTCACCAGCCAACGTAGATCTTAGCACGTACTTGGCCCGTTGCTCTGGCGAATCTTCGACATACCTTGTTCCATGTCCCCCGCTGACTGAAAAAATCTGCTCAGCATGATTGTATTTGGTGGGGGCGGGTTGTCGATCAAGTATTTCCCGCAAGCGAAATATTGAAAGCCGCCCTTTTTGGTCAGGTATGGGCGTCCTGCGAAAGAAATCAAGCGTGGGTCAATCATGCTGCTGTAATGGAGATGAAGAGGATGCTGATGACAATGGTGATGGTGATGGTAGGTGGTATGGTAGACAGGATAAGAAAGGCCAACATGAGTTTTTTATCAAGTGCTCCGCAATGTAAGTTGTCCCTGGTAAGAGCACCACTTGTTTTCTGAAGTGGCATACAGGCCGTCTTACATCGCGATACTAATCGAATGCAAGTATTCGGTCACACGGAGCTTACCAGGCCACAGAAAGCCCCAGTTGGGCGTACACAGGAAGCCCCAACGAGGACATACAAAGCTCCGCCTTGTCACACAGTGTATTGGTCGCCCTTCGTTTCGAGTGTAGAAGCACGGCGATCATGACCAAGATATCGCAGTACCTTCTCGATGCCGATCTTGGTCATGCCACATGTCCACCGTCTCCGATTCGCGAGGGTGATCCACGAATTGGCGCTGTCCAAGATTCACGGTGACCATCATCGGCACGACGATTCCGTGTTCAGTCCTGGTCGTGGTTCCCGTTTTCTTCCCCTGCATCCTCAGCGAGGCTCCTCAGCACGACGGGCGACGCGCGACGGGCGACGGACGGCGGCCTCCAGGCGTGGCCATAATCGGTCCCCGAGCACCTCCACGGCGAGCGACGCGCCCCAGGCGTCCAGCGGCTCATTTTTTTCGAGACCTGGGTCCCCAGATCTTTTGACCCCTCGCCCTGGACCAGATTCTCATCCCGAGTCGTTTTTTCGTCGTCGTCGTTGTTGTTGTTATCGCCTTCGCCGTCGCCTTCGCCGTCGTCGTCGTCGTCGTCGTCGTCGTCGTCGTGCATCGTCGTCGTCAGTCTTTGTCCCAGGGCCACGACAGCCTGGCCTCCGACAGCCGAACATCGAGAAAGCCGGCCGTCTCGATTTTTTCGATGCGCTGGATGTCTGCGGCGCCGGGCGACGGACGATGGGCGACGGACGACGACGACCACGGGCAACGGGCGAGAGCAGGCGCCGGCCGGGGCCCCCGCGGGCGACGCCGTGCGGCTGCAGCTGCTGCTGCAGAGCCGCGACAAGCACCTCGACGAGCTGACGCAGTCGGTGCGGAAGGTGCCGCCGACGACGATGAGGATCAGACACGCGCAGAGGGGGGGTCAGGTGGAGTGGGGAAGGTTTCTTAAAAGCACCCCTGCTTCTTAGAAGCCTTCCCCCTTCCCTCTACCCCCTTCTGCGCGCCGCCAAAAGGATGCGAGGTGGGATTCGTTCAGAACCTCGAATAGCGAACAAAAACATGCATAACCATAAACTGTTGGGGCTCCGCGTGGATGTCTTTTATCAGCGCTGGGCCCCCCTGGCGGCGCCTTCAGCGCCGCCTCTGGCGCGCTCCTCTCGCCAGGGAGGGGGGTCAGCACCGATCCACGAAATCTGCACGGAACTCAGAAATTGTATGTTTACGCAGTTGTTTTCTTCAATGCGAGGCGGGGATTTATCTATACCCACCTCTTGGTGGATGGATTTTCGGGGTCCTCGGTTGGCAGTGGATGTGGGGCCCCCCAGGGCCCGAATGTGTATCCATACCCACCGCCCGCCGAGGTCTCCAAATATCGATCCCTGCCTCGTAGGGAATTTAGTTCCCAACCATCCTGTGGTGTTGGGTTTTCGTTTTGAAGAGACGGTGCCCTCCTCCCCCTCCTCCCTCCTCCCGTCACCCCTTCACTTTGGCACACCCCTCACACGTTTCGTGGCCCCATTGGGAGCTCCACCCAAGGCCCCAGTGGCTGCGTTCACATGCCGCCTCCCGTCCACTTTGGCAAACCCCTCACACGTTTCGTGGCCCCATGGGGAGCTCCACCCAAGGCCCCAGTGGCTCCGTAGCCATTCTGGCTCAAGACTCCATGCTTGGGAGGCTGCAAGCCTTCAGGCGAAAGCGGGATAGCTCTGTTCCCCGAGCTTGCGATTCATCTTCTTGGGGTGCCAGGTTCGCCCCTGGTCATCACCTGCCTCCCTCAGCCCGAGGGTGCGCAGTCCCGTTCCGACTTTGTCTGGTCGCTTGGGCCCTCTGGCTCTCATGGCGAAGTGCTGGCAGTGCGTGAGGTGCGGTGGCTACACGCCACAACATCTCTCACTCTGTATCAAGGCTGGCTGTAAGGGCAAGCGGACGGACCACAATGTGCCAGCAGCGAACGACAACCACAAGCCTTGGGGTAAGTGGGCAGTCGGCGGCGGCAGTCTCGGAGCTCCCTGGGCCAAGCAGGGACCCAAAGGCGGCGGCAAAGGGCGTGGTGGCAAAGGGCTCGGACTTAACGGCGGAGGGTCTGTTGCTCCCGCAACCCTCACGCTCTCGCCAGAGAAGATTGCAGCCTACGCAGCCATGGCCATGGAGTCGTATGAGATCGTCAAGGACGGACTTTCACGCAGCAGTCGAGACAAGGTCGAGCTGGCACGTCGAACGGCAGCCGCTGGTGTCCTGGGCTCGGAGGCGCGGAAGCTCCCTCTGCCAGTCGATCAAGCATCGTTGGCCGTCGCCGACGCCACAGCCAAGCGTGAGCGCCTCTTGGAGAACTCCCGCAAGGCTCTGGAGGCGTTGGCAGACGCGGATCGGGCCCTCGCCGGGCGCAAGGCGGAGCTCGAGCAGGCCAAGAAGGAGGCGGCGAAGCTCTACTCCTCCACCACGGCTGAGGACACGCTCCGCTCCGTCAAGGACAAGGTCGCCTCCATCGACACGGAGGGCGAGTCGAGTGCTGAGGTCCTGGCTAGCCTCGCCACGATTCTGGGCGAGATGGCTGCAGCCGCGGTCCCACCACATCCCGAGGCAGAGCCTGCCCGCGCTGTGCCAGCCGCAGGTGCAGGTCCAGGCGCTCCAGGTGCAGGCGCAGGTGGTGGCGCAGGCGAGGCGCATGCTCCCATGGCAGGCGATCCAGGTAGCGACGATTTCGACAAATCCATGGAGGGCGAGGATCCTGGAGGACTTCTCGGCAGCGCTGCGGACGAGAACGAAAGGAAGAGGCTCCAGGAGGCACTGGACATGCTTCAGGGCCGCCAAGCGTTCCAAGACCTCGGGGTAGCGGCCTCGGTGCCTCGGTGAGGCCATATGTGGCAATCGTTCCCCGCTCGTGCCCGGGACGGCGGACGAGCAAGGGCGCTGGTGGGTTGGCCTCGCGGTCAACTGCAACGCTCGGTCGAGGTTTGCCAACCTGCTCGGCACAGGCACTGTCAGGTGCTGCGACTTCGTTGCCGTTCAGGAGACGCACTTGGATTCGCAGCGCACTCAAGACACTCAAGGACAACTTCGACGGCTCGGATGGGTCTCGGAAGCTGCGCCAGCGATCAACGCTGGTTTTGGTTTCCTGGGCACTGGGGGCCTTGCGCAGATGGCGCCCCAGCACTTCGGGCTCGGGCCGTTCGGCCTGCTCGGCAAGCAAGCGGCGCCGGAGCTTGGCCGCGCCATCATCTCCCACCTCAGTGGCGTCTGTAGAGGCGGCATCGCGTGGGTCAATGTGTATCTGGAGGTCAACGTCGGGCGCAACCAGAGCAACGCCGACGCCCTCCACGCGGTGCTGAAGGCCCTGCAGGCGGCCAGCAGGCCCTTCATCGTGTGCGTGGGCTTCAACCTGGAGCCGTCGATCTTGGAAGAGTCTGGCTGGCTAGAGGCGGCGCAGGCGGCGGTTGCTGCGCCCGCGGAGGCCGCGCGCAGACCTGCAGGCATGAGCATCGGCAGCTTCGTGGTCTCGAGGCTCTTCCGCGGGGCCGAAGACAGCGTTGTCCACGGGCTGGACCTCAGCCCGCACTACCCAGTTGCGCTCGAGCTGCCCGGCCCGAGCAGGCACCATAAGGTCGCCGTCGTGCGTGCGTCCAAGCGTCTGCCTCTGCCCAGGCCGCTGGCCTGCCGCGCGCAGGATCATGGCCCAGCTCGGCGAGCCGTTCGCGACCAGCTCGAGCGCATGACAGACCTAGACAGCATGTGGCAGGCTTTCGTCAAGCAGGCGGAGGTCAACGTGATTGACGCGCGCGGGCTCATCCACGACCTCGACAGGCACTCAGGCCGCGCGGAACGGCCCAGGCTTTCAGCCACCTCAGCCACGGCGCCGTCGCCGCCGAGGCTGCCGCGCGCCACTCGAGCCCCGACCTGGTACAGGTCGGTTGCTATCTGTATCCGAGACGCAGCGCAGATCGAGCGGCCGCTCACCAGGTTCGGAGCCCTGCGCGCCTTGGGCAGGCTGGCTAGCAGGCCGTCGTCCGGCCTCGCGGAGCTGCAGGGCGTGGTCAGCGTCATCGCCAGCGGAGCGCTGAATTTCTCCCTTGATCAGCTTGATGTGTTCAGTGCGGCGTGATTCAGCTGATATGAGGCAATGGTCAAGACGGATCTGGATCAAGCCTCCAAGAACTATAGCGACTGGGTGCTGCACTCTGTCGCTGCGGGCCCAGGCGGCGCCCATGCTGTCGCGGAGACTGTTCAGTCTTGGAATGCGAAGCCAGCCAACACAGTTGGTCTGGCGCCGCTCACCAAACAGCAGAGCCTCCATTTACTGGGAAATCGTCGCCCCCCAGGCACTGCCAGTCCAGGCAGCAGGTGGTGGTGCGCACGGGGCGGAACCAGCATTTGAAGGCGAAGAGGGGGACCTTCCCCGACGCAGCCACCGTCCCCCGCTGTTGAGCGGGGCTACGCTTCCTGACGCAGCTGCGAATGCCTCGAGGGAGCTCGAGCCCGAGAGGCATCGTTTGCCTTGGCCTGGGGGCCTCGGAGAGCGCCCCGACGGGCCTTCTGTGGCTGAGCTGCGGAAAGTGATCTCGTCTTTCAGGAATCAGTCTGTGTCAAACGTTGACCGCATCCGTCCAAGTGAATTCAATCTGATGGGTGGCCTAGGCAGTGAGGCCGTCATTGACTTGCTGATGGCTATCGAGCAGCAAGCAGGTTGGCCCAGCTTCATCGCCAAGATGGCCTTCATTCCCAAGGCAGATGGAGGCCTTCGACCCAACGCGGCGTTGGCAGCGGTGGTCAGAGTTCACGGCAGGCTTCGCCGACCCATCATGCAGCAGTGAGAGAAGGCCAGTGACAGACCCTACTGGGGGGCGTGCTCAGGGCGGTCATGCAACAGAGCGGTGTGGCAGCAGCAGACGTGACCAGGGTGGATTGCGATGGTGGCCGAACTTCATCCCGATCAAGACTGGGCCTCCTGCCAGCATCCTGCTGGACAGTTGGAAGGCATTCGAATAGGTCTCGCATCGGTGCCTCGCGCAGGCAGCCATCAGGTACGGTTTTCCGCTCTGGCTGGCCAAGCTGCAGATCTCTTTGCACCGTGCGCCGAGGGTGCTTCACCTCGACGGGTGCTGCTCGCAGGAGTTGCAGGTCTTACAGGCGGTGCTCGATGGAGACGCGTTCGCCACGTGCTTCATGAAGATCCTGTTGCTGCAGCCGCTCGACGAGATGGTCGCGCGGTTCGGGGCCGTCACGCCAGCCATCGCGGTCGGCGACCTGGTGCTCCAGCGCTGGGGCGGCACCAAGCGGGTGCAGGACGATCTGGCGGGCGCTGCTAGTGCATTGGCGCAGCAGCTGAAGAACGGCAAGCCCAAGATCGCAGTCGAGAAGTCGAACGTCATGGGCAGCTCACCAGGCTGGCGCAGCAACATATCGAGGCGCCTGCTAAAGTTTGCTGGAGTCCAAGGGGCTCGTCACGCGCGCAACCTGGGCATCGATCATGCAGAGGGGCGGCGTGCAGCTCGGCCCCCCCGGCAGCAACGCCTCGCCAACGCCGAGCTTCGCCCCGGCAAGGTGCGGGCCTTTTTGGGCCCGAGGCGCGGGCGCACTGCCGCAGCCAAGTTTGCGTTCACAGGCCTCCATCCTTCGGCGATGTACGGCGCCAGCTGCGTTGGCCTCAACCCCAGCGGGTTGTCCAGGACGCGCCCCATCACGGTCAGAGCCGCGGGTCCACGGCCAGCAGGCAAGAATGCCACCGCAGTGCTGATGCTCTCGGGGGCCAAGACATTGGACCCCATCTTCACTGCCACGCTGGGGCCTGTCATGCTGCTGGCCAAGGCTGTATGGGAGAAGTGGGTCCCGACGTCCATTTTGCAGTCCACTTTCGACTGGAACGTGAGGGTCGCCAGGCACT